CGTTAATCACAGATACAAAAGAAATAAAAAGGGATGAAATTGGGGCTGGGAAGGTGGCTTGGTGGTATTGTTTGTCTTGCATGCATGAGGCCCTGGGTTCTATTTCTCAGCACCACACAAGCAGAAAAAGCCGGATGTGGCACTGTGGCTTAAGTGGTAGAGTGCTAGCCTTGAGTTGAAGAGCTGAAGGACAGCACCTAGGCCCAGAGTTCAGGCTCAACTACCAACCAAAAAAATAAAAAGGGATGAAATTTTTGCATAGATCAAATAAAATTTAAAAATACTTAAAATACTTTTACAAAGTAGCATTTAAGCTCCCTGAGACATATTACAAGTTTTCCTTTCACTATCTTTGTTATTAACTTTCTTTTTCCTTTTTACACCCTAGTCTTTACTCCATTTCTGGAGTGAATGCTCAAATGTCTTGCTTCTGGAAATTTCTTCCCTTGTTTATTAGATTTGAGATATAAATGTTTACCAATATAGTGCCTTTTCTTTTTATTGCATAAATTTGTTCCTAAATCCTTCTCATTATCTTTTTAGTATCTGTAATTGATCCATTAACCAATTACTTTTATTTGCTATTGAAAACTTTTATTCTTTTAATCTTCCTATACAGGATCAACTCTGTGTCTTTTAAAAATTATATTCTATCATGTATTGTATCATTGTTATCTCTTGTTTTAATTACTTTCTTCTATTCAACTCTTGAGCATATATCTAAAACAATGTAAGTCTGGATACAATAGAAGAACTTGCATATCCATGTTTATTATATCTATTCACAGTAGCCAAGATGTAGAATTAGCTACATGTCTTATAACTGACGAAAGGGTCAAGAACATGTGAAATAACCAGGGGGCACATGCCTTTAATCCTAGCTATTTAGGAGACTGAGTAATCTCAATGTAATCTGAAGGATTACACTTCAAGGTCAATGCAGGTAATTAAATTTGCTAGACTCCATTTCTAACCAGAAAACAACTAAAGCTGGTGGCATGGCTCCAATGATAGAGTACCAGCCTAGCCAGCAAAAGGAGTTGAATTCAAAACCCAGTACCTTCAGGAGAAGAAGAGAGAGGAAGAGAGAGAGGACCAAAATACAAAAAAAAAATGCAAGAAGAAAGAAAATATAGTATTCCATTTGCAGGAGAATAGATGGGTCTGGAGATAATTATGTTCAGTAAATCAGTCAGATTTAGAAAGACAAAAGTCATGTTTTCTCTCATATGTGGATAATAGAATTAAAAGAATAACACAAGCAAGATAATACATAGGATCACACACATATGCTAGACACATCTATGAACATAATTATAGGACACTTTGAGGGAACAATACTAAAATACCAAAATAGATTATATCTGTAAATAAAATTAACAAAACAAAACTCAATAAAAGTTCTTGCATAATAGAGATAGTGAAGAATGAGGAAGTGAGGTCGCTCTCACAAGTAAGGGGCTCAATGAATTTAAACACTGTCTATTGATTTGTGAGATATCACCACGCAACCCCTTGGGACAGTTAGCACACACTAGAAAATAAATAACTAGGATACAAGACAGGTCCTATAGGGGTGGGTGAACAGTGAGAGGGGCTCAGGACGGGTGAAGAAGAGTGCACATGGTCAAAACGCTTTACGTGTTTGAAAAGCAGAGAAGTTTGTGCAGATTGGCTTGGGAAGGAGAACGGGGAACAAGGGAGGGGGATTTGAGGAGTTTGATCAAGGTACATTGCACATATATGAACATGCCAAAATGAAACCCCTTGTACAGATAATTGCTGCTAATACAAGGTGAAACAAAATAGGAAACACACACTTGTGCCATAAACTTCACCAGCATTACCTCTAGAAGTAGTTAGATGTTCCATGAACATGTTAGAAAAGGTTCACTTATTTGACCACCACTGACTAAAAGGTAGAACGAATAAGTGCAGGCATATTCCTTCTTTTACTATAACTCCATCCACCTGTGCGATCCTTTTGTATATAAGACATCACAGCAGTCCATCTCGTCATTACTTTGTGGTTAAACTAACTGAGAATAACATTTGACCTTCTAAATAATATTCACATATCAAATATATAATATCATATGCGTCTATATAAATATATATTTACCAGAGAGATGATACAAGTTTTTGTTCTGAATTAGAGCACTCATTTGTATCAACTCATTTTCTCTGTCTAGAGTCCTGCAGGCTGCTAGCTCTACTGAGTTTTATAATTTAGGCACTGTTTCATATGCAGAAGTGCTGTTGTTCTTGTGTTAACCTGGCCCAAACTCTCAGACAAGACACCTCTTTCCTCAGTACAAAAGGGCTACAGGACAGAGCCCCGAGCCTGCTAATGCTCCCTAGTTATCTACAAGTTTAATGAAGTGGGGTGTGTGTGTGTGTATGTTTTTGGAGTTGTCATTGTGAAAAGCAAGTAGTCAAAGCCTGTCTTGTCCTGTCTCATGCTGTGCCTTCGATAAGCTCATTTCCCATATTGTATACAATCCTCTCTGCACAAGTCCCATCTCAATTTGTTTATTGCATATGAAGCATTACCTACATTAGAGAAGAAAAAAACACAGATGCGTAAACCAATGCCAAATACTGATGATGGGCGCTGGGGTACATCTGCAGTTTAGATATGCAGCCCCGCTGCTATCTACCTCACATGGTCAATGAATAGAAATGAGTTCTTAATAGAATTCCAGTTAGACAGTCAAGACATTTCCTCCAAAGAAAGAAGATACTTCATTTATGTCTTCATTGTTTCTTTTGTTCATCTAATAACAAAGTCAAGAGCTAAGAACACCACTAAGATAGCTACCTGTCTTTAGAGACAAGGTTAAATTATGTGATTTCTGGGGGGCACAGTCAGACACTGGTGCTGGTTCATTCCTCCTCTGGCTGGAGGGAAGTTGCCAGCCCCCTTTCCCGAAGTAGTACCTCCCTGCAGTATGTGGTCTTAGAGCAGTTAGCCATGATGTCCTCCATCCAGGAGAGCAAGGAAATGAGGGCGTTCTCTAAAGCAGCAAGGTCAACTCCCTGAGCAGCTTTCACCAGGGCATGTGGAGACAGTTGCCAGGCAGAAGACCAGAGTGTTGGCTCTTGGCACTTTCTTGGCACTGTGTCTAAGAGTCCCAACTGGAAGAATCTGGTTATTGCAAAGCCTCAGCTCCTTGAATGACATAATTACAATACTTTAATGCACAATTGTATTATTTAAGCCACTGGTTTAAGTAGTATTAGTGCACAAACATGCACAATATTTTTTGGCAGTACTGCAGTTTGACCTTAGAATCTCATACCGGGTAGGCAGACCCTCTACAACTTGAGCCTTTGTTTCTACTCCTTGAATTTCTTCTTCTTTGAGACAGCATCTCCGGATGTATCCCAGGCTGGTCTCAAATATCTGATCTTCTTAGCTCAGCCTCCACAGTGTTGGGATTATAGGCAAGCACCCCCATGCCTGGCTCCCAAGTGTATCTCAATTGCTGCTGGCATCAAGGACTCAATTCTATTCCCAAAGAATTGGATTTGCCATTGCAATGTTATCTAGGCCGCCTCACCCTGAGCGGTGGACACCAGAACAGAATTTAGTGGTGTCTCGTTCAAATGAGCTCACATCTGTACTTGTGAGAGCAGATTTCCCTGAAAGGCCGAGGAGCAGTTTGGGTATAGTGAGGATGTTAATTACATCTCTTTCAAAGGTCTTGAAAACCTGCAGAAGTGAAGGGGAAATACACAATCCCAGTGGATAAAAGTGACTAAATCTGATGCCATTACTTGTAGATGAGGAAGGCGATGGCTCGTGGTGACATCTAGGGAAAGTGCTTACTTTGGGAGTGTTTGTTGCAAAGCCTGCAGGTGTGACAGCACCTGTGCCAGTGTCCCTGCAGTCCTGTCTGTAAGTTGACACTCTTTCACTTGTCCCTCATTTACCTGCAGTGGATGACAGAAAATGACAGGGTGGATGTGTTCTAAGGAGGGTTCTACCTTCCCATAAGCTACTACCGCGCCACTTACAGAGGAGACCACGTCACCAAGGTCCCAAGGTGCCGCGGTCCCCTGAAGGGGAAGGTGTGGAAGGATTCCCCCTGCAGAAGCCTGAGTCTGCGTGGAATGATGTAGCAGTCTGCCATCAGGGGCGCAGTGTCCACTCAAGGGCGGATGCCCACTCAGGGGTGGATGTCCACTCAGGGTAGAGTGTCCACTCAGTGGCGGAGTGTCCATTCAGGAGCATGTGCCTGCTCAGGGGTGGATGCCCACTCGGGGGTGGGCGTCCACTCAGGGGAAGACCCTGTAACCTCCGTTGGAGATGTAGGTGCTGGTCAGGGAGCCAGCCTTCCAGACCAGATGTGACTGGCTGCAGTGAGCGAAGGGCTCTGTCCCTCACCACGTCCATCCTCTGGTGACAGGGGGAGTCTCCCTGGATGGACCCTGGAGGCTCTGTGTGGCGGACCCCACGGGACATGGCGGCCGGGATAGGCTGGACTCGGGACCCCCAGGGGGCGTGGGATTCTCCTTCGTGCTCCCAGCAATTGCCGGACGCCCGAGTGGATGCCCATGCGCCTTCGGCTCCAGCATGGCGAGCACAGCCCGACCCCTGTGCGGTGCCCACCTGCACTTCCCTTCCTGGTCCCAGCCCGCGGGGAAATCGATGGACGGCTAGGTGTGATTTCACACCAAGGGTCTAGGCTCGTGGCCTCTCTGCCCTTCGCGGCGGAGACCGGCTCTCCCCGCTTTCCCCCGTCCCCCACTCGCCCCCGCTCGCCCTCCTCGACATCCCCATCCCAGCGGTCCTCCCTGGCCCGACGCGCGGCGTGGACGTCTGGCACGCCGTGGAAAAGCCTTCCCAAAAACTGAAAGTGAAATGAGGAAGGCGGATTGAGCAATCCGCGGGTGGCGAACGCCCCGAACCCCCTGCGCCCCGCGAGCGCGAGCGCGGCCATGCCCGGGGGCAGCGAGACCACAACCCGGGGAGCGCTCGTGCGCGGGGAACCCGCATGGCCACCGAGGAAATGACCCGGCCCCCGGGCTCCCCGCTCCTCGGAGCGCAGGCCGGCCGCGGGGCAGCGGCCACGCCTTTCCTGCGGCCCTGAGAAG